AATGTGAAATAAAATAAAGAAATAAAGTGAACACAAACAAATGGTACTATCGAACGTTTTAATTTGACTTTGGAACGTCAAGTAGCTAAATTAACTGATCAATGTATTAATGATTGGGATTCGCATCTAAAATCAATTACATTCGCATATAATACAGGTCGACATGATGCAACACAATTTTCTCCGTATCAACTACAATTTGGTCGAGATCCAAAATTACTGCCAGAGCAACCTTCAACATATTATGAATTTTTCAAACATAATGATTATTTTAAATTCTTTACAAGAACTCTACATATCTATCATCCACAAACACATCGATTTATCAAAAATAATCAATATCGTTATAAAAAAAACCTTTGATATACATCGTCGTGCTATTCATTACAATGTTGGTGATTATGTTCTTAAACGTCTTACAGGTTTTCCTTCAAAATTATCAGCACTATATTCTCATTCGATGATCATCATTAAACAACGACATCCAACATATTTTATTCAAGACCCAAATGATGAAAAATTATTCCAAGTACATGTTTCTCAATTACGTCCAATTAATTTTGATCGATTTGATACCTAACAACTTTTATAAGACGTTATGCCATCTATATGCATTCTTTATTATACAATGATTGGTTTTTCCTGCTATTTTACTTTCCTTCATTTTGGTTAGATATCCATTTATTTATGTTCACTTTATTTCTTTATTTTATTTCACATTATTATTAGATTTTTTTTCTTTTTCTTTTATCTCTTTAGTTATATTTTGTTGATTATCATGTCCAAATCGTCTTTATCCAATGTTCAACCAGTGGCAACAACTTCATCGCTTACTACTCATTTTAATAAAAAAATGAAGAATAACATCGTTATGAACAACTCTTTCCTCCATATCATCCATGCGAATCACATGCGACTCATTTTATTAATTCATTAACAATTGAAGAAGAATTACAAACTTTATGTAATGTTATACAAGGTGCAAATGATTTTATATTTGACACAGAGTCGGATATTCGCTCTTATACACCTGCACTTATTCAAATTTTAATTTTATGAAAAGATCCAGAACCATCATTAGTTTTACTAATTGAAATAACACATTTACCTTATATATCATCATCACATTTTCGTACAATCCAAAATTTATTCCATCATGTATTTCGTTCCGGAACAAATTTATATTCGTGGGGTTCGTTATTAGATGAATTAAAACAATTTACAATTTATCAACTATTTTCTATGCCCGATTCTTCAAATGTCTTTAATGGTCAACATCTCTACAGGCTGGTTTAATGAATATATTAACAGGAAAATCTGATGATAATGCTACCATGACTGATTATGATGATTCAATTCTTATTGATGCACCTCAATTAGATCCAGAATTATTTTTACCACCGGCAATGATAAATCATCTAAAAGTTGTAAACAAACCACTATGGAGTTTAAAAGACGTAGTCGCTTATATTTTTTATCAATATCTTTCAAAACGAGAAACATTAAGATCATGGTCTATTGGATTAGATAAAAGATTACCATCTCGTGACAAGAATTATTCATCAACTTATCGACAACGTTTAATTAAATACGCATTGTAGGATTGTCTATCTTTAATGGAAATAATATTATTTATGCATCAGAATTATTTATCTACTCATCTTGTTGATGATTTATGTATTCGATCTCTAGGAGAATATTTTTCTTATTTAAAAATGAAATTTACTACTTCTTCTTCTTTAGCTAAGAATCATGAAAAATATGAAATATCAATTGATGATGAAAGTGATGATTTGATTACTGTTAATGATTTAAATGAACGTCATCAGATTTCCCCGGAACTTCAAACAAATGCACAGTGTTATGATGTTACTCAACATCATCAAGCCCATGAACCATTTTATAATATGAATCAAAATTATCCGGTGCTAGAAGAATCTTATGAGATTAATACACATCATCATATTGATGAATCCTATGAAACAGCTGATTTATATTCAGAAATTAATTCGCAGGCAGAAAGTAATAATCAGTATAATCAAACTAATTCTAAAAATGATGCTGACGTAAATTATAATTTGCCAAATAATGGTCTTCATATTGTTCCTGGTTCTTTATTTCAACTAAAAACAAAACGATCAATAACTGCACGAAAAAGAAGAAATAAAAAAACTAATATAAGACATCGAAGAAATCGATACAATTTCCACCTTATTCGACCAGTTGATACCACCATCACGCACGTCAAAAGGATTCTTCATTCTTATGCTGTCCCTTATTTGAATGTCAATATTGTTAGATCAACACTTTACATCGAATTAAAATCACGAAGTTTCCAGGACTATTACGAACAGTTGTTATTAATGGATTTATTCATTTAACTTTTCTCGGGATTAATTACCCGGCTATATTTTTTTGCGTCTTCTCGCTTTTTTCTTCATTGTTTTTTTTGTTTATTCGTTGATTTTGCTATTTTTGTTTCTTTTTTTTTTGGTTGTTGTTCATTTTTGTAAGGGGGGAGATGTCACGGTCGCTATCTACTATAGATGGACTATCCTCCTTTTCTTTTTTTCCATACACATTTTACATCTAGGGAGATTATATATATATATATTGACTATTGTTGTTGTAGAGAAAAAAAATAAAAGAAGATTAAGGTGAAAAATAAACAAAACCTTAACATTTTCAATGGTGTAAAATCATACCCAGGTTGAGACGAACGACTAGTGAACGCGTCCGGCGTGATGTTCAGCACGTTCGAAAGCGTTGGGAACGGTCGAACGCATTTTTATGCGGTCGTCCATTCGGAATGCGTTCTGTAACCATTTGTCTTACGCTGGGATGAATTATTTCCTATGTCATTTAAGAATGGCAAGCAACATATTCAATTTTGACTTTTATGGAAAAAACATTTTCGAATGGATTCTTACCTATTTTTATAAAAAGGTTGTGGGCGTGGGTGTTGTTGTTCTCTTAACTGACCCACATCTACATCCATACACCCACACCCCACACCTACCCACATCCACATCCACACCCCAACCATTTCTAACTGTTTTTGTTACGACATATCAACAGAAGTCGCACGCAATTGCGCAACAAAGGTGTGCTTTTTGATAAAAGTTTGTTATTATTGCTGATAATAGAAGAAGAACAAATAGAAACGACAACATCAGTTACATTTTATAGTATCGTAAAGCAAGGTATGTATTGCTCAAACATTTTATTAAAAATTACTATTTTTGACTTACTATTATATTGAGCAGATATTTCCAAAGAAGTCATATGATCAAATGATACTGTTTATTCATATATATAGAAGTTTTTTTTCTTCGCAATCTTAATCATCACAATTAGAGAATTAGACTTTTTTAATCTATTGATGTATTAGTGCCTTTGTTAATTGTCAATTCCTTCACAACTTAGGCTTTCTTTAGACAAAATAGATTTTTGTAAGTAAAACAAACGTATGAAGCATATGCTTTCAAGACTTCTAGTCTTTGATATTTTACTCTCATTATTTTGAGTAAGTATAAATAATACATAAAATTGTATGCTATTGTTTGAGAGAGGTATGTCCTGCCGGCTTGAACGACTGATTTTATTAAACTTGCTGGTGAAGATAATGGAAAGCAATGTTCATAATTATACATACGTAGTAGATAATAATGTCTTGCTACACAGAAAACATGGATTCTAATGTATATTTATCTGATCAGGAGAAATTTTTTAAGTGTAACGGAAAATGCATGATGAAGATGAATCAATGGTAGGGAAAGACAGCTGTTGCTGGGTCAAGAGTGTGGGTGTGTAGGGTGTAGGTATGTGGGGTGTGAGTGTTGGTGTGTGGGTGGATGTGAATGTGGTTTTGGGTGTAGGTGGGTGTGGGATGTGGATGCAGACTAAGAGATACCGATGATTTATACCCACACTCACAGCCACACAGCCACACCCCAGACCCACACCTACACACCCACACCCGAATGCACGAGTTGTTACGTATACTATATGTGTGCCAGCATCATGGAGAAGAAATGGATTCACTTACTTGCCATAAGCTTTATCCTGTAGTGACGAATATCACTAAAAGTCTTGTAAATGAATATAATTAAAACTTTAGGATAAACATCTTATTTTCATGAACACATTGTAAAATATTGTTACTGTCGCTTTCTCCCATGAATCTTGCAGTGATTGAGGATGAGTAGGAAAGTTCTCAGTCGCTCTTGTTTTATAATAAGAAACACATTTTATTTTTAGTTTTTCTTCAAAAATATCATAATGCCAGTACACAGAGGTAAGTATGTCATTATTTGCTTTTAGATTGATTCCAATTTAGAGTGTATTCAGTGTCTTATTTGTATCTGTTGAGATATCATATGTGACGGTTGTGGTGTCAAAGATTTTGAAGGACTCCGATATTGCTGCGAAATATGCACCAATTATGATCTTTGCGGCTCATGTTATGATAATGGGAAAGAAAGTTTTCAACATTCGAAGACACATCCAATGGATTGTATATTAGTAACGATAGGTCTCTCGGTAAGTTCAGAATATGCAATAACAACGCTCGTTTTTTTATAACAGATATTACGTGATTCTTAACTTGACTGGAACAATTAGACTTTCTGAATTAATTCTATGTCCGATAAAAAGTACATGATTTATACTTTTATATTGGTCTTTTAGGAAGATATAGTTAAATCTGCAGATCCTCAAGTCTAAAATTTATTCTAGTACTTACCAAAATGCAGAATGATTAACATGAATGTCTAAGAAATTATAGATAGTACCAAAAATCCAATCCATATATTGGATTGGCTAATAAATAATTCCGGATTTTTTTCTTTCTTAATAAATCTGTTTAATAAACGTCTTTGCTAGTTAACCTTGTACATGTTTTAAAGCTCATGTCTTGCTCATTATTTTGTGTTAGCGATGACGAGTGTCCTCGTTACTATTTCTTTTTCTTCCTTGGGAAGAGAAAGCGAAAGATCATTTTGCTTCAAGACAACGCTAGATCGCATGTTGCAAAGCGAACTCAGAAAACAATAATGGATTTGGGGTAGAAAGTGTTACCGCATCCAGTCTATTCGCTTGACCTGGTTCCTTCTGAATATCACCCGTTTCGCTTAATGAAACACTACCTGCACGATAAGAACTACGATAACGATGAAAGTCTCCTAAAAGACCTTGACATTTTTTACCTCAGAAAATGAAGAATTTTACGACGATGGGATTCGTCAATTACCCGTTAGGTGAGAGAAGGTCATAGTTAGCGATGGAATTTATTTCGATGATTGATGTTCTATTTGTTTTTTTTGTGAATGAAACTCTGAAATGAAAAATCCGACATTATTTATTAGCCAACCAAATAACTACAAATGTTGTCTCAACAGCTGGTCAGCTTCAGATTAAGAGATGTCCTATGAAAAAGTTGAAGTTGCAAAAAACACAAAGCAATTTGTATTTGATTGCTATGGGGAATCACCACCTTTAAGCCAAATTAAATTCAAAATTATATAATTTGCCGTTCGAGTGTCTGTATTCTGTTAATCTCAGTTACCCATACCCAAATCCATACTTTGACTCTACCAGTGATTGGATACTCAGTATTTTACTGAATATTTTTGATACTTTTACTGAGCATTCAGGATTATTTGAGTACATTCTAACAGTATCAGTAAATTTACTTGTATTGAAAGATTTTACTGAAGTACCAGTATTTTAAGTACAAAATGTACTTTAATCAGATATCAACATATTCTTATATATTACTACTTTGCATTCTCTAAAATATTTACATAATATTCATAATATTTAAATTTACACACTATAAATTCATGTCTTTTGAATTTTCCTTGGTTATCAATGTTGATTTTTTGATACCGAGGCTGTTTTATGACAATGGAGATAGAAATATCGTGATAACGATAATTCAAATACATTTTTCTAAAGATATCGCTAAGCTATAGACGTTAAGTGTGTATCACACATCCTAACATCGATATCAACGTGCTAAATGTACAACTACGCTACATTATGGCTTTAGGTACTCCAATGTACTTAAATACTTTACTTGAGTACAATTCAGTGCAGTACTGCTACTAACTGAAATGTACTCAAGTAAAAAGTATTTAACACATTCAACGCGATGTGAGCCACCGGTGGCTCACGGTATATTTTCGTGAGGAGAGTTGACAGAAAAAACAGATTTTTAGTTTTTTTTGGCTAGATAGTGACTGTTCGTTACACTTCTACTTCTTCCATCTTTGTTACGGACTGATCCGCTTTTTTATTTAGAGAAATGCTTTTCATTAAAACAATCAAGACAAAAGAATTGATCACAATCAGGACAGAAAGTTTTTATTCTCTTTGTTGTCATCGCACTTGTTTCTCTTGATTGTTGTTGTCTGAGCTTCTCATAGCAACCAACGCACCGTCTTCGGGCATCGCGTGCAGATCCTTCTTTTTCCTCGAGCTTGTGATCAGTAAGTTTGCGCTTGACTTGACTTGTCGACTTTTGTCTTGGACCTGGCTTCAGCTCCTCGAATGGCATGCCAAGCAATAAAGATCTCACAAGACTTTCACGATACTTCAGAATAGTCATATTGTTTGTTGAGTAATGTTCCTTGTACACCAGGTAACTGTTCACTATAGCCGTCCCAAAAATCAATTCAAATGCTACCTTTCGGTACCATTTTAAAGATCGTCTGAGGCATGTATAATATGCTGATAGTTGATCAGATAAATCAGTACCTTGTCTTCCTTTGTTATAATCTACTACAACTTTCGGCTTCATTATTGGCTCATTTCGAAAATTTGTTTTTCCACTGTCAATTACATCTGCCGAATGCGAAGGCTTTGTGGAAATCATCAAAACATCTTTTTTGTCTTTCCACATAATCAATTTTATGCCTTCTTCATTTTGAAGCCCGTACACGTCGCCACGCTTGAGCTCTCTCTGAAGGAATTCTTTTCCGGATGCGGTACGATTTCTTCTCAATGTTCCAATAAGATATGTATCACGTGCCAGCAAACTTTTTGCTAGGGGAATACTAGTAAAGAAGTTATCAGCTACCACAGTTCGATAACAACCCGAAAGACCATCCAATAAAGTCATCACGATTGTCTCAGCATGTCCAAGACCTGCTATTGGATCTTGTTCACCAGTATAGATCAAATAATTCCACGTATATCCGTTCGCAGCCGCTAGCTTGTACATCTTCACGCCATATTTGTGTGCTTTGCCAGGTATATATTGTTTGAACGAAAGTCTGCCTCGCCATAGTATCATTGTTTCATCAATTGTAACAACTGCACCAGGAATATATACAGACGAAAATCTGGCTTTTAGTAAATCCAAAAGTGGTTTCAGCTTGAACAGTCTATCTTGGTTCGAGTGGTACTTATTGTTATCCGAAAAATGCCAAAACTTGAGGAGTAATTCGAACCTATCTCTCGCCATTGTACTTCGAATGATCTCCGATCCGTACAGCTGGCTATTGCTCCAGTAGTATTCTAATTTCGGCATTTGTACTAATCCCATCTCGATAAGGATTCCAAGAAACTTGAGCATCTCTACATCATTGGTTGGTTTCCATTGATGACTTTTTGATCGTCTGCTAATATCATGTGTTTGCAAGTATTGCTCCGCGTATCGATTAGTTTCGCGAACCATCAGATCAATAATTTCGTCTGTGATAAAATGACGATAGCAATCGATGGGCAGAATTGTATTATCTCTTGATGCAGAAGTTACTTCTTCGACGAGTCCATAATCTTCCATAAATTCTGCATCAGATTCTGGTTGTATTTCACTCCACACTGGCGAATTTAATTTGTCATCAGCATCTTCTTCGCCAGAATTTTCAGACTCCAGATCCATTCTAACGAAATCATCATCCAACGAGCTCACTTCACTAAGTGAGCTAGTGCTCTCTTCTGTTTCAGATTCTTCGAACGACATGTAAACAAGAGCAGAGTTCCGGTTGCATTTATATATATGAAGAAAGAGAGAGACAAGATAAAGGGAGAAAACTTGAGAATTTTTCTCTCTGCATGTGCTATATGTGAATTTCAAAGAACGCAAGAATGACGTAAGGAATTTCTCCTTTTATCACAAAAGCATGACTCATGATATGATGATTGGAAGAAGAGGACGAAAATAAACGGTGGAAGATAAGGCAATAGCAAATAGATGCATTTATTATAAGTAGATTCTCGAATAGACTCGATATTTCGAAGAAAACTTAATCGCGTTGAATGTGTTAAGTAAAGTGAAAAGTACATTTTTTAACTATCTAGAGTTTTACTGGTACTGGGTGTACTTGTACTCGTCCAATGACTGGACTCTACCCACATCACCCGTACGTACACCTATCTACCAGAGATCAGACGAAGAGAAGTATAGCAAGTAAAAGTATTTTACTTGTACTTTGAAAAATGTACTTCGTACTTTTGCTTGTCTTTCGCAAATATACTTGCTCCTGTAATTGTACTCGTACTTACGAAAACTATTTGATACTTTTACTGGATGTACAAATATAATAAATTTCATTGTCAATGTTAGTTACCTCTGATAAATTTTTCGAGACTATTCTGACATCATCTGATCAAAAAGTAATCAGTACGAATAGTTTAATAGAAACCTTTCCTCTAATATTCTGACACACTCATTGAAGATGTGTTGTAAAAATCATCTGCTTTCATTTCTTGAAGCTTTTCAGAATTATGATGAATATCTGTGAATGAGGTTGCTCTTTCGACTTGATATCAGAATTAAATATAGTTCTTCATGACACTGAGAAGAGTCTGCGTGAACTCAGATCAATAATTTATAAACCAAGACAAATTTGTATTCTGCTGCGTTTTCCAATCATTACTAAAATTTTCCTAAATATCGACTAGAATAATATGTGAAGCATACAAAAAACACTGTTTCGTATTTCAAGCAAAAAGTACGACAGTGTTTGTCTCGAAGTACAATTACTCTTCTCATAGTGGAAGTATTTATACTTGCACCATGAGAAGAGTACTTTTACTTTTACTTTAACTTGAAAAGTATGAAATGTCCAAGTACAAGTACTTTCATCTGAGCCTTGCTATCCGCCAACCCTTTTAACACGAGAACAGTATTTCTTCGTTTTTTCTATTGCTATTAACAAGAAAAAATATAGTGAATAATATCCATCAATAAGATAAATCCACAGAATACTTTAGAAAGATCCACGACTAATGACATCTTATTTATTAAAGGATCAAGATCAATATGAAATAGACTTTTATCAGAAGGATCAAGGTCAATTTGAAATAGACTTTTATCAAAAGGATCAAGATCAAGATCAAGATCAATATGCAATAGAATTTTATCAAAAGTATCAAGATGAATTGAAAGTATTTACTAATCTATCATCAGAAAACTACTCATCTCTTCTATCAACCATATTTTCAAATGATATATGTAATGATATGATTATGCACGTTCATGTTGAGTGTGAAAAAATCAAAAATTTACTGCTAGAAGAGTATTGTAAAATAAAGTACAATATATCTGAATTAATTATGGCTGGTAGTGGCGGTGAACAATGGATGGTCTATGGTGATTCAGATATTGATGTAATGTATGTTGAAAATGAACTTGTTACTGAATATGAAACAACAAACTCATTATATTTTATTTATACTCAATATCCAAGTTACGTTTTACTACGTCGAGGACAACAAACTATAAGTCACGTGGATGTGCTTAAGCTTAAAAAATATAGTGACACCTTCGAACAATACAAGTTATATGAACATGGTCCAGCATACTGTATAAAAACGCCTATTTCGCCAAATGACGATCAATCTGTAGTTGAACAAATGGAAACTGATGTTGTACCATGTTATAAATTAATTCAATGGCCTACTGCAGCAACAGAGTACTTTCATCGTAAATCAAGGCAATATGCATGGCCACCGATTGAAGTGATTCATAGATGTTTAAATAATGAAATTCCCTGTTTATTGACACCTGTTGGTTACAAATTAAGCGATCAGCGTGATTATGAGTGGCGCATATCATTTTCACTCATAGAAATGGAGTTAGTGAAAACATTAAGTAAAAATCAGCGCTTGTGTTACATTCTATTCAAATCGATTTGCAAAGATTTTGTTATTAATGAAACAAACATTGAGCTTGAACAAGCGAACAATAATCCAGTAAGCTAATAAGAAACTACTCATATTTGACCTAAACAAAATGATTGTCAGTATAGATCTATTACATACGTGATGAAACTTCCACTAAAACTTTGTTGATTAACTCTATCATCCAGTGACGCATTTGTTGGGTTCTTAAAAATAAGTGATTTGATCTATATAATATATCCAAATAATATTTCTAAGGGAAACACAGTACAACATCTGAGAATCAAGCACAATTAGAATTAATAAGAAAGAATTTTCATAATGCTTGTTGACCTTTGTGAAACTCAAATATTTTACAAAGAAAAATAGAGAGTGTAAGTTTTAAGGGGAAGTTTTCCGTCTCCCTTACCATTTTCCCCTCCCGCCTCCATTACAGACCTTAGCAACCGGGTCAAAGATCACTGAGTATCGCTCATTGTTTCATAGGTCAATGGATACGTTTTCCCTAGCAACTGATCATACTGAATTTTGTTTTGCCTTACGCGAGATACGTGAGTTCCACGTTTTAGCTGAAAAGGGGCTATGCCAACAAGCTTCTTGAGCTAAGCCTTCAATAATAAGTAAGGTGCCAGTAATGCAAAGTTTCCACAAAATTTTTTTTTTCTTTTTTCACATATATTCTGATTTGTCCTGAGTTGCTGATCACGAATATCACCTTATTTTTTGATTTAGGTCAAGTAATCATAGAGAACCACTCAAAATACTGAGTGGTAGTCAAAAACATGAAAATGACCTCCTTGCCAGAAACAATGCTATAACTACTTTTTTTCTCAAGGTTTTTNGTTTTTTTTTTCAATATAGGAACCAACACCGATTCAGCGACAAGCTATCCCAATTGGCTTACAAAATCGAGATGTAATTGGTATTGCTGAAACTGGTTCTGGTAAAACAGCAGGTCAGTTAATTCTTGTTTGTTGATTCGTTTTGTTTTTGAATCATTGTTTTTATATTTATTTAGCATTTCTTATTCCTTTACTTTCTTGGATTCGATCATTACCAGCAGCTGATACGTAAGATGGTTTTATTATTATAAAACGAATAAACGTTGTAATTTTTAAGATCTCTTGATGCTGATAGTGGACCATATGCACTTATTTTAGCACCAACTCGTGAATTAGTACAACAAATTGAAAAAGAAGCAATCAAATTTGGAAAAGTAGGAATTTTTTTATTTTTTCGAAGGTGTACATTGAATATTTTTTTGTTGATGTTTAGCCATTAAATATAACCGCTGTCTCGATCATTGGTGGTGTATCTCGTGAAGGGCAAGGTTTTAAACTTAATCTCGGTTGTCAAATTGTTATTGGTACACCAGGTCGTCTTATTGATGTACTTGAAAATCGTTATTTAACATTACAACAATGTACTTATGTTGTTATGGATGAAGCTGATCGAATGATTGGTAAGAAAATTTTCAATTATCTTGTTATGAATTCTTATTATATGTGCTTCTTATCATAGATATGGGTTTTGAAGCTGATGTTAAACGTATTCTTGAATATGTACCAGTGACAAATCAAAAGCCAGATGATGAACTCGCAGAATATACAAAGTAAAAAAATTTCTGTTTGAAAAATAAAAAAATAGTTTTCGTTTCTTTTTTAAAGAGATTTTGCTTCAAAACATAAATATCGTCAAACAGTAATGTTTACAGCAACAATGAAACCAGCTATCGAACGTTTAGCACGTACATATCTTCGTCGTCCAGCATCTGTTTATGTTGGTTCAATTGGTAAACCAAATGAACGTGTTGAACAAAATATTATTATGTGTTCAGAAAATGAGAAACGTAGTAAATTATTTGAAATTCTTGGACGTGGTATTGTTCCACCTATTATTATATTTGTTAATCACAAAAAAACTGTTGATGAGTTGGCTAAAGTTTTAGATAAAACAAAATATCATTCATGTGCCTTACATGTATGTAATCATTTTCATAGATTTATTAATTTCAAAACAAATTATATTCTTTTTTGTGAATTTCTACTAGGGTGGAAAGAATCAACAAAGTCGAGATTTCGCTTTAGGTCAAGTAGAACAAGGCAAAAAAGATATTCTTATTGCAACAGATGTTGTTGGTCGTGGTATTGATATACAAGATGTTTCACTTGTCATAAATTATGATATGACTTGGACTATTCAAGGTAAACAATAAGATTTTATCACTTGTGGAGCTAGAAAAAGCAGAGATGGCTCAGCCTCGCCTGATGACATTTTTGAAAAATGTATTAGCCTTCACAATGAAACATTTTAACACATATGTCATATTCTGTGAAACTCATGTATTTTCGAGGAAAAGGAAATATATCTTTCAAAAATCTTGTTAACAAGGCGCCAAGGTTCATAGGTGGGAAATATGGCACAGTGGACAGAAAAGGAAACTAGGAGCAATTCCTACAGTTATTGTAGCTAATAACTCAATATTTTTTTGCAATTATGGTTTGCAGTTGACCTTGATTAGATATTTTTTTCTAGGCTCTTTTATTCATAAGATTTTTGAAAAATAGAATTTTTATTGAATTGTTTAACAAAACTCTCTAGTGCCTTTTAGGTTACGTTCAAAGTTGACCTTCCACAACTAATATTCTCAATAGAACTAGTCTATTCTGAAAGTTTCAGGTTTTTCTATTGCTTTTGTTTTGAGATACGCATATTCAGCATATTATTGTGTAAAAAAGCAAATTATGCCCTTATGTTTGTATCTAATGACAGAAGTAATGAAGAAAGTTGAACTTTTCAGCATGAAATTTCAAGCCATAACTCAAACGTCACAGTTCAATGTAACCTGAAGGACCTACAGAATTTTATTGAAAAAAAATCAGTGAAAATTCAATATCATACGGACGGAGACCTGAAAAACCAAATTATTCTAGCCTTTTTCAATGCTCACCAGTACTCATCGAATGAACATAATCCTGATCTAGCACATATAGAGGTTCTTTTGCTAGTTACTAACGCTTCCCTATGAGAACTCGAAAGTTAGAAATTATCTATGGATTATGTTTAGAACCAAACAATTGATGTAAAAGTTTAAAAATTCATGCATTTGAACGTGTATTGTTTATTAGAAATCTAATCGATCTAAAAGATAAACATTTATTATACAAGTCAGTATGAATGAGTCTACATCGAAGCCTGTGATATAAAGTAAATATATCATGCTAAGTAACTGCATAATATCTAATAAAAATAATTATGTCTTCAATTTAAAACATACATTTTACTTGCAAGATCGTAACAGTGATATTCACCTATTTTATCGACTTTATGGTAGCTGCTACAAGATAGTTAGTCGCTTGCAATTAGACTCCAAGGTGTATTTATATGCAGAGCCATAGGAACTTTACTATTAGCTATAACTTCATTTCATGTCTCATAAATCGATTTTGTCATCTGGCTGTCCACTGTAAGGGGTAATCCTCTTAGCCCGAAATCCTGGCTTCGCCGGTAGATTTTATGAAAAGAAAGTAAATTTAATTTGAATTATTCTAGATTATACACATCGTATTGGTCGTACAGGTCGTGCAGGCAAATTAGGCAAAGCAATAACATTTTTAACTAAACAAGATTCAGCAATATTTTCTGAATTAAAAGAAGTTATACTTCAGTCACCTGGATCACACTGTCCACGTGAGCTACTCAATCATCCTGATGCAAAACATAAATCTGGTTCGTTATTTTATATATTTACTTTTCATGAAAATTATATTTTATGTTTATTTTAGGAAGTACGGTTACACAACTTAATTAAACGGCCATTCTTTGTGCTTAAATTAAAAAAACGATTTCTTCTTTTTGTATCTGTGTTGTTTCTCTTTTGTTTTATTATTTTGCATCATTAATAAAGAAGTATTTGATGAAAAATAAAATACTGATCTATTATTGATTTCTCTATTTCATGAAAAACAAAAAGTTGTTTTTTTTTCTTTCTGTTTGATGATATTCTCACAGAGCCACCAATCAAGGCAAATATTCTATTGACCTTCCTTTTTTGTGCTGAAAATCTATTTGGATTGTTTCTTTTTATATAGAGCAATAAATATCTATTTGTTATAGCAGATGAAATTATTTGTATATACTGGTGAAGTGTCTGTAATTCGAATTTCAAGTTGAATTTGGGGTGTGGATGGATTCCTCTTCCTTACTCACAACAACACCCACGAATCCACAATCACATCCACACCCCACAACCATCTTCCTTTGTTATACATTACACTTAGCAATCATTTGTAATATTCTAATGGAATTGAAGAATAGTCGTTTCCTACCTTGTTAGTGGTATACACAGTCTGAATTAAGAATTTATTTAAAAAATAATAATAGTTGTAGATTAACAACAGAATGATAAGATATTAGTTCTAGATTGACAGAAAAATGAGTCAGTGGTTTACGAACAACTTTTTTCAAACAGAACGAAAGTAACAGGATCGCCTTTGTATATTGGGCGAATTATGGGTCCGCAAGTTAATTGTGGAGTCAGATAATGCTGCAGATTTCAAATCGTTCATCAAACATGTATCCTGTAATATGTTTTTAATTAAACATTTGAGCATTGAGTCCACATTGTCACCATTTTTAGCTGATATCGAGAAAGTTGGTACTAGAGCAGACCAACCAGGAAGATAAGATCCTTCAGAATCTGTTTCATTATCAATTGAATTGTTACTTACGTTGAGTAAATCCATCTTGTTGTGTGCAATTACAAGTTTAACATTCTTTTTATATAGTGATTTTTCAAGAAGTCGTTTAAACCAGTAGTCCCTGAGACATTCTAATGACGTTGGGCTCGTCTTGTCGACCATTAAAATAGTACCATGGCGATTACGATAATGTTCATTGAAAACTGACTGGAACCTGTCAGAACCTGGGCAATCAGTTATTCTGACGGCAACAGCATAGTTGTCTTCAAATAATTCATCCAAATAGAAAATATGCATATCATATGAAATTGTGGTCGACGGGTTGCGTTGAAAAACAGGTGTAGTTTTGTAAAATTTGGCGGATGAGAATTGTTTTGCCTACACCGTATGAGCCGAGATGGGAAACTTTTACTATAGCATTGGATAACCTTCCCATTTGTCCGTATCAGACCAAGTGAACGAATCAAATTTGAAGATCTGGTTCAGTTGGTGCCGTTGGCATTGAAAGTGTTGCATAGCTAATTTAAGAGGCGTATTTGGTTGAGATTCTGGATCAAATAACTGCTCATCTATCAGCGGAATTGTGCCCTTACGTCCTATATGGTTTTCCAATGCGATGCGTTCGTAGGAAAGTCCCTAAAAATCATAATATATTCCAGATTCGTAACATGGACGAAAGGAAAGATGTCAAGTCGTTGTTCAAATTTAAAAGGTATATTTCTTGTTTAACATCATATCCTCATAAAGTGAGATCGAATAGGCGTTAACTTACATTTGCCATTAGCAACACAGGCTCTTTCATTATACGTTTTGTGAGAGGACAAATAAAGTGATTAGGAATCGAAGAATCGCTAGCCATTAGTGATAATATATTGTTAGAGCTGAATGGGCGTATTGCGAAATGTTTAATTATAAAAAAGACCACGATATTGAAATATTTTTATTTGGAATTAATATCTAAAATAATTACGAAATGATAGAAAACATATTTTTTATGTGTGGACACAAATACTGTTTTCAATATCCAATATTTATTATATTACCATTACTAGTAAAAGTGAAGTTGAAAATGAAAAGGGCAATAAACGCAAAATTGAAAATATAAAGAAAAAGTAATAAACATTAGATGGATATGCCATCCTCCTCTCCTCTGAAGGAAAGCATTTTGCAACGATGAAGAAATACTACTACACTAAATGAAGTCTTCTATCGTTGCAAAATTCTAGTCCGAAAGAAAGAAAATAGAGTGAGTCAAGTGATTTATTCTTATCTAGTGTTATTAATAGAATATGGTGAATAGCTGCCTATCTTTTGCTATTAAATTGGCTTCCACAGATTACTCATCATGTTTTATCTCTTTAATTTTTCTTTGTACCTCCCCACTTCTTCATCTATCGATGTAAAATATCATTCTCTTTTCTTGTACAGCCACCTCAATGGTTTGTTGTTTGCAAAGTGAAACATATCACTTTTTTTCTTTACGTCATAGAAGAAGAGGAAAATTTGACCAGAATCACTGGGTTTTTCCCCATCTATAATTTCCCATCTTACCAAGTGCACTTTCACATTCACGTTCGATCAATGCTATGATGAATCATTTTCTATATCTAGAGAAAGTGGTGTATAGAGTGAGGGTGGGTGTGGGTCTGTGTATAAACAAAATATACCCACACCCACACCCTCAAAATAGTTTCTACGTTCTCTATAATTACATGATTAATGTATCAAATTGATCTTCAAATAAACACTAATATCAAGGCCACATTTATTTGAAAAAACTGTAAAACTTTGTTCATCAAATTATTTTCCTGTTGGTTGTAAGTATGCAGGAGAAAAAAGAATCTGTAAAACAAGTTATTGAAAAATAAAGTTTTACGATGTGTAAATGATATTGGCAAAAAAAAACAGTTGGAGTGTGAGTATGGGTATGCATGTGACTTCTCTATCCTTTCACACCCGCTACCTCGAATTGTTTCTCAAGTTGAGCAGGTGAAGTAGTGTACAACTTTTGCGAAAACACTGCATACACCCATTTGTATGGATACAAATCGATTCCAAAAGGGTGTAAGTGAGGAGAAGACACATCTATACCCATCCACTGACAACCATACTCTCATATAGTTTAAAAATCGCTGATGTGATCCTATGTCTTTTCTCAAATATCGATCACTCAAACGGCAAGAACGAAAGATGGATTTCATCCCTACTACAGAAACTTCATTATGACATAAGTCGGCATGAGAATACACTGCTTTTCATGATTTCTGTTCAAGGACCTCAGAAGATTTGTACACATCTCTGATTTCTAGTATATGTCAAATTATTTCGCTACTACCCCAAAAAATCACGAAAATATGTTGCTTTAAATTAAAAGCAATATTCGCATAGGAAAACAATATCAATGCAAAGAGTAATTGTGTCAACATCTTATCGATCAATAATTTTCTCTTTTTCTTATGAAGAAAATACATTGAAACCGATAAGTAAGTAATGAAAGTCACTGTAAAGGCGTTTTGATTTTTGCTCGACAAAGGTTCAAGCAATGCTCTGTTTCCATTCGAGTGTTTATGCTGATAGTGGGGGTGGGTGTTGGTGTGGTTTGAGTGTGCATATCTTAGCCTTAGCAAAGTCTTGACAGATACCCCATACCCACACCCAGAGACTGCATTTGTTCGAACATTGATAAACGTATTTCAGTGATTTAAATTCCAAGGAAGGTTCTAGAATGTTCTAGAACATTCTAAAGCTTGTTATTAGCCTTGTTCAACATCATTAATCGTGGTTGATGACGTTTCTAATTTGGGTGGAGGAAGGGGGGGGGGGGGCAATGATTCGGCTTGTACCTAAATTTACTATTTTGGTTGAAAAAAAATGTGTATTTCCCCGAAAATAAAGCAACTACCAAGTTTAACAAGATTAAC